ATTCTCTCCTCCTAAACTGAAGCAAATTTTCATTACCGTCTTAAATAGGAGAGTCTCCAACAGTACTGAAACTTAAGAATTAATCGATTTTCATTTAATTCATTAATCGTTTAAAAATAAAGTAGATATGATGCAATGTCATTGTAAGTTTTAACATGTTATATAAATGAACTCCCAATACTGCTTTTCAGTTATACGATTTTAATGTCAAGGGTCGTGTAAGATGACTTTTATTATTTACACTTAACATAATATAAATGTAATCCTTTAAATTTCCAGGAATAGAAAAAAAATTTAAGGACTTGTAAAAGTTCTTTTACTTTATTTTCAGCACAATTAGTTTTAGCTGACCAGCGAAAAACCCGTGAATGCCATAGAAAGAATAGGAAGAGTTAAGAATAGAATACGATCTGCTCGCATATTCACGCATTTGCGCTTTTTCTTTTATCCCGTGGGTCATTCCGATTAATCAAAAATCTTTCAGTACATGCGTTTTACCAACAATTTTTTTTTCCCGAAACTAAAGATTTTAAATGACAACAACCCCACCAAAATTTCTTTTCCCTCATTCTTATTCTAAGCAAAAATAATGTTCGTTGCGGACACTTTTACATAAATTTACCTTAAGTGCTTGACAGTTAGGGAAGAAATCTGTCAAATTTTATCGGTTTTCATATTTTTCAAGCATAATGATATGTTATAATAATATCCTAACGATAAACACGATTGCTATTATTAACATAAAAAGGCAATAAAAACTTTTATTAAAACAATTTATTATATTGTCAGAAATAAATGCTCTCCAATTGTTCTTTCATATTTTTAATTTTAGCTTTAACACACAATTTTTGATATATGAAGTGCTGAAAACGGAAACAGTTCAACCTACATTTAGATTGGACGTTTGGGATTATTAACTAAAGAAATGTTATAAGACGCTTGTGTAATTTATACCTTTAGTTTTTCAATTGAACTAAGTTTATCACGTACTTTTGTTTAATTTGTAAACATGCTTCGTCGCATTTTATGATGTAAGATTTATCATTTCCCAATTTTTAGAAAACTCTAAGCAAATAATAAAAATTTTGTTGCGTTTAATTTTGATCAATTTTTTTATTAAAAGGTTCAGTATTGTTTTCAGTGTTGAGAGCCATTAGACACTTGAGGGAATTTTTTGATACTTTAAAATCATCATAAATTAAATTCTTTATCAGTTATGAGGAAAAAACTACGAGTTCAGCAAAAATGTGCAGCTTAAAAATAGCATAGAAGGGAAACAATAAGTGAATAATTTATAATAATTTGAATACTCAGGAGTTCAGTGATAGGAAAGCAAAATTTCCTTACTACCCAAGTAACCGAGTATACTGATTAAAACAGAAATGATGCAATGAGTGAATAGTTTGTAATACTTTGGATATTCTTGAGAAGTCCAGTGATGGAAAATATAAATTTCTTTACTACCTGTGTACTGAGTAACACAGAAATGATGCAATGAGGGAATAGTTTGTAATACTTTGGATACTCTTGAAAAGTCCAGTTATAGAAAAGGTAAATATCCTTACTACCTGAGTATTGAGTAGCACAGAAATGATGCAGGGAATAGTTTGTAATACTTTGGATGCTCTTGAAAAGTCCAGTGATAAAAAATTTAAATATCCTTACTACTTGAGTACTGAGTAACACAGAAATGATGCAATGATGGAATAGTTTATAATACTTTGGATACTCTTGAGAAGTACTGTGATAGAAAATCAAAATTCCCTTTCTACCTGAGTAACTGAGTTGAGGAAATAATTTATAATACTTTGAAAAATCTGAATACACATGAGGAGTCCAGTGAAAAGGAAATCAAAATATCCTTATTACCTGAGTAACTGAGCACTGAGTAACACAGAAAAGAAGGAATAATTTATAATAATTTGAATACTCATGAGGAGTCCAGTGATAGGAAACTATAATATCCTAACTACGTGAGGGTCTTCCTACCGAATTTCCTTCTTATCATCCCTTCCTTTTTTTTTCAATTTTTACTTCATTAAACTTCGTTCAATCACTCAAGAAAGACTAACTATTGGATAAAAACTATTCTCCAATTACTGTCCCTATCTTATGAAATATTCAGCAATTTTTCCAATTTCGTTCCGAGAGTAGAGCTAAAAGAAATAGCAATATGTGAAAGTTATAAATGAGTTATGATTATTTTAATTATATATTTCTACCATAAATTAAACTTTTCTGCAAATTTTTATTTTTTTTCATTAAGTTTCCGAATATTACTCATATGGGGGGGGGCGAACAGAAAATAGATCATACTCCTCGTTACTTGTTTTTTTAATACCCTTATTTCTTATCCTTTTAAATATTTTTTAATTTTAATCGGAGCCATTGTGAAAATATGGTTTTATCCGGGTAGTTTAAATAATTTTCTCAAGTACTTTTCCTTTCTTAAAAAAGTGATTCCTCTTTTATTCCTCTTATTCCCCTTAATACTTTTTCGTTCTTAAAAAAAGTAGCTGAAACAAAGCTTTCAAATATTAACAAATAATGAGTTATATGCATTTATGAGACAATAAACTAAGTTTTTATGAGACATATAAATTCATTCTTAAAGCTTGCGTAGAAAACAAGCGTAAAGTACGAGTATTTAGCAGATTTTTAAAGTAATTTATTTACTTCAACAAATTAAATATTTTTTTACAATAGATATATTTAATAGTTTTGTACAATTGCAATGACAGAATACTCACTTTATCATTTTTGATGATAATGTTTAAATTAAGTATCATACCGGTGAAAAAAAATCAATAGTATTCTCTTTTAGATTTTCACAGAAATTCCCTAAAAATACCTCTCATTTTTTTGTCGTTCACCCCATTCCCTACTTGATCAGATAAACTCAAACAATTTATCTCTTTACACGAAGTCAATCTGCATCGCGGCGTATAAGGGTTACTGCCTATAGGCACGCAATTCTGTGTTGTAAAACTAATGTTTTACCGATTGGGCGTGTCTCCATTTGATTCTCTCTGCGTTAATTTATGCTTGTATTACGCGCCTTTTTGGATCTTTAATGATAGGTCTTTACTCAGGGAATGAAGGGAAAAAAAGAATACTAAGTTAAAATGTAACATTGAGTCATTTAGTGTTCTCTGCCTGGAATGGCTCTTAGTAAGTTACAGTTTTATGCAGGGCCCGATCCCGTTGATTAAAGCAACAGCTCGTTAAATATTACTTTCATAACTTGAGAAGTGTAGTGCTTTTTGGCGACATCACGCCAAATGAAGTTTTTAGTTCCCGAATCCTGGGAGATAAACTTGGTTTCACAAAGATTCGTGTAGATCTTGTTTGCTTTTAAAAGTCACGAAACACCGTTTATGACATTTTTATGACTATTGTGTGATTTTTGTTTTAATGTGAGTTATGCATAAGAAAAATCTGCATAATGCCAATGATTTCCATACACTAAAAACAGGATATTTAAATATATATTTCTGTTGCTTGTATTATTTTTTTTATTAATAACTTATTAAATATGGTTGACATAAACTGTGTCGTATTTTATTGCTACACCATAAAAATATATATCCATTTGCTAATGAAAAAAAGGAAGCTAAGTTAGGAGTAAGTTAGATATGCTTTTCTCGTGTTTTCTGGGACTATGCACAAATAAAACGATCAAAGATTGCGAAAAACACTGATATATGAAAAAAAACAAGCAAAATTTCTGCATTTGTTTTGAAATTCAAACATAGAAATTATTCATGCTATAAAATAACCGCTTGAAACGAAGTTACACAGAATTAAATCTGATGGTGTTTCAACCAATAGAATTACATTTCCGTATTAATATAGTTTTTAATGCGTAAGTAATGTTTGATTGTAATAATTGTCTCATTAAAATTTTAACTGGTAAGATAAATAGAATATCTATTATATAACAATGCAGTTTTTGTTTCAAGCGTAAGCGTGTAATATATGGGAAATTTGATAGAAAGGAATTGAGCAATAATTAGTTAAGATTTTTTAATCGTCAACATTTGATCAGATTAAAAATTTTTTTTTAAATATTTCGATCAGAAAATTCTTTTCTTTTTTTGTTTTGTTTTTGTTTTTGTTTCTTTTCTTTTGATTTTTGTTTTTTAACAAGTTATGTAACAGCTACTGATGTAATTTCATTTACAAAATTTATTCTCTGAGAATAAAAATTTCAATAAATTATAAATAACTTCAAATGTCCCTTTCCCTAAATTATAAAAAAATATTAATAAGTTAAAGAAAAGGGAAAATATATATCCTTCAGAACAACATAATAATTGCTTCTACATTTGTTAAATCTACAATATGATAATGTGATTGCTGCTGCAACTTCTTCAAGCTGCTTTATTAAAAACAAGCAACCTCAACTGATTTTAAAAAAAAGAGAAAGAAAAAGCTATTTTTTTTTCTTTTTATTCAAAAAAAAGCACTGTTTTAGCATTCTACACTTAATTATAGATAATGTATTCCAAATTGCAGCGAAATAAGCATCTTTTAGTAAATTGTATCCATCTGCTTGTTACAAAGCATGCATTTTTTTTAAAGAAAAATGTGCTAAGACTTTTTTTTAAAATATTAATTTCTATTTCAGTAGAAAAAGGCAGGGAATATATAATTACATTTGTATAATGAACAAATTTTTATATTATGCATATTTTTTTTTAGTAATTGGTTGTTGTTGTTGCTGGCCCACACGGTTAGCGGAGCTAAACCAAGTCCATGACTCCAGAGACTCTGAGGATCGGAAAAGAGGTCCACTTTAGAGATATTTAGGCATTGAAGTACATGTTCAGGAGTAGCTTGTTGGTCATTACACTTAGTGCAAACAGGGAAAACTCTTGAACCATTACTAATCGGTACTAATGGATATCGATCCCAAATCGCAAAGTTGAAAAACAGTTGCGTGGAACTGCACCAAGCAAACAAAATGTCGACTTCGTACGTAAATAAAAGTTACCATCCTAGACTGATACGAAAATTTCGTCAAAAGATCGTACACTCTATCGCATAAATGTTATAGCTAAAGAATACTCGCAAAATTAAAGTACTTGAATTTAATCTTCTGAGTGAAAGCTATTTTAATCTGCCCCTCCCCCAAAAGTAAGCATTTCTGCACTAAACCTATACCAAGACTTTACTGTAGCTAATATGCTCATAAAGGTTTCGCAATGAGGATTTCATGGGAAAAAAAACTAGCTCATCTGTTCGTTACAAAACATGCAATTTTCCGAAATGGCTTTAGAATTTCTGCAAAAAAGTAACTTTCATATTTCAAGCTACAAAGGTACAATATAGATAATTTAGTTAAATTTGTATCATTGTATCATCGAAAAACTGGGTTTTTTCTAGTTATAATAATTAGTAGTGCATGCGTTTATTGTTCCAAAATTATACGACAAACTGCACAAAATATGCATAATTTCTACTCTTACCCACAATGAAAATTGCATTTCAGACTGATCCAATATTTGCTGCAGAACACCAAACCATTGTTCTTTGCTAAAAATAGAAATGAAACTTATTTTAATTTCATTTAAAAAAGAACTCTCCAAGGACTGAAATATTTTGAAAAGATTCTTTCTATTTGTAATTAAAAGCCATATGGGCCAGAAGTTTAAAAATGATTCTTTTAAGCATCCCTAATCTCTCTCTTGCTCCACATGGGCACACACGGGGGAACATATATATCTCGACAAGACAAATATCGCCATCTAGTTGGTCCGATCATCCTCATCTCATTAGGAGGGAAGGTCTAAGAGTTTTCCAATTAAAATTGGAAGTACTTATCTCTCTCGCTCTTCCACCGAGGAGCAAGAAGGAAAAGACAAAAGACATTAACAACGGAACACGGAAAGTGAATCAAAATAGGAGACGTTTCTTGTTTCGGGGTCCTCGGAAAAGAGCAATCTCACCGTTCGGGAAAGCTCTTAAGCATCTTCTGGTCTCATTTCCGACTCACGAATCCATCCAGAGCATCTCAGAAATAGATACAAGACTACTTAAACAGTTTCCAATTTCCTGTACTGTAAGAGTTGGGCTGCAGGAGGGGGTTGAAGAACTGGAAGAAAAGGGGCTTTATTGCTCACTGCTTTAAACATTACTCATTGGCGGTTCTTCATTAGGACGGGAAGGGGAATGGGAAGATATTTTGTTCTGGGATTTGGTGGCAGGGATGCTTAGAACTAAAAATGAATTTTGCTCTGCTTGAGATTAAATCTCATATCTCAACAAGGGGAATGAGAAAGGTTCCATATAAAATTAGAATTTCTTTTTTTAATTAAGATTTCTTTGCGAGTTGAGCAGTACTGATAGAGCTTATCAAAATTGTTTGAAATAATACGGATCTAGTTTAACTTATGGTTGCTTTTCGAAAGCTCTACCGTCATATTAACTAATCTTTTCAATGGCTAATATGTAATTTTCATAATTACCTAGAGTTAGCTTCGATTATTGGTGACTGTTAGGTTAGGTTTCGTCCATCTTTAATCTGCACCCTCTAAACTAAATACAAAAATATGCAAAATGTTTATTTGCAGGAAAGCTGCAACAGTTTTGAATGAAAAGTGTTTTTGATCTGTTTTTTTTAAAAAGTTCATTATTTGGATCATGGTGGCTCATGGAATACAGTGCTCACCTCCCAATCAGGTGACCCAGGGTTGAATCCTAGTGATGTCTAATCAATATGAATTCTGCACCCAGCTTGCACCGACCACAGTGTTGACATAAAATATCTCTAGTGGTAGACGGATCGTGGTTTAGAGTCTTTTTTGCTATCGGGGTAAGCATGGGAAATTTTCGTGGTTTTTCTCTCCATGTTCCAACAAGAAGTCCTCCATGAAGGCTAGTTTCTCCTAATGTTTGATCCAGGATTTCCCTCGCCTTCTGGGTTGGGTTCAAAATTGCAAGGCTATACTGGGTTGAACATTCATAGTTGTAACAGGGTCGGCTATTCAACGCCGTCTATAAAATAAAATAATTTATAACTTATTCCAACTCTGCATTACTTAAACTCATTAAAAATATGCAAGAGTCTTAAAGTTATTTATTAGCTTTTATGATTAGCGATTATTAAAACATTTTGACAAATTAGTTATTTAAAAAAATAAATATTTTTATTTACTTAAGATATTTGCCCGTTATAAAATATATACATTGATTCTTCGGTTTGGTTTGACTCTTCACACATAAATATTTAATAATTATTTTAATTAATTTTCAACACATATCCAATAGCCCGATAAAATATCTAATTGCGGGATAAAAGAATAACGATTTACATAATTGCTGTTTTGTGTACAGTATGTGTTGGCGTGCTATTTGAGTACATTTAACATGAATTATTTTAATTTAAACAGTCGCCAAATTTGATGATAAAAGCGTTGATAAAACCACTACAAAATTATCTAAACAGATTCTAGTCGCCTTTTTTAATGCTTAACGGCTGGTTCTGCCTCGAGTATTGTTTAAAATTATAGCCTATCTTTCAGTTTAAACCACTTATTATGATTTTTTTTTAATTATCCTTGTTAAAAGAACATCGAATAACAGACATATTTTGATAAAAGTAACGTAGAAAACTCATTTCAAATGTAAACATTAGTAAATTTATCTAACTCTGAAAGATTTTCTTCATCAATGTGTTTTTTTTAAACATTATGTATGATGACGCAGGATTGAATAAATAAAATGTGAATTATTTTTAATTCTAAAATGTCTCCAAATTTAGCAACAGAAAGCGTTGTTCGATTAAACCACTACAGAATGACGTAAAAAGGTTATCTCAGCCTTGATAATGCATAAAGATTAGCCGTGCCTTTAGCATAGTTCAAAAGTACGACATTTTTTCTCGTTTTAGATACTCAGGTTGTATTTTTTACCTTTCTAAATAATGAACTGATACCTTGTGATTTTTTCCCAATGTACTACTAACTAAACAGGTTTGAAGAAGCGTTTAGGTTGTGGTGTCCCGTGCTTCTCGCCAGATGGCGATACACGAAATTTTCCTTGTGTATCATTCCTTTCGCCAGGTGGCGATAGAAGAAACTTACAAGCTTTTTGTAATTCTGCAACTGGCAACACAAGACTGAACTCTTCTCATAACTTGCAACCGCTGGCTAGTCAACCAGTCGTTTTTATTCTCCCGTCCAGTGTGGACGTACTCTGCAATATTCCGCAGCACTTTGCTGCTTTTCGCTGATTCGCCAAGTTCGGACTTAGTCTACTCGACTATCTTTAATAATTTTATTTTTATCCTAGAATCATGTAACCTTTTTTTTTTAACTAACTTAATATTTACTTTATTTATTATTTCTTTATAATAAACTGTGATGTTAAATTTAAATGTTAACTTTCTTTCTTGCTTAATAATTGAGTTAGCTTAACACCACAAGGTTTTTAAAACTTACTAAAAGTTACATCTGAACACTTTGAGCTATCATCATTGACTCGAACATTGACCGTAACTTTTTATAAAAATTTTTCTTTCTTTTCGTTGAAATGAGCCTTTTAAAAAATATACTCTTGAGAAGTATGCTAATAATAATTGATAACGATAAAAATATAATTCATAACTATAAAAACTTATTCGATAATTGCTACTGTGCGTAATTGCATATTCTAACTTCATTGCAGGAACATGCCCGTTTAATTCTTATTTGTTTCTTGGTGTTCCGAGCGATTTATGCTTACAAATATTGAAGCTTCATATACTTATTAACTACTTCTCCAATATTAAATACTTAAAACAAACTAACCGAAAAGCGGTAAAGGAAACAAATTTTGAAGTTAAATAATAATCAGACACTATTTACTTTGATGAAAAATACTATGAGGAACAATAATGGTGTTAAATTACTCAAAGAAAACGGAAGGATTCGATTTGTAACATCCTGAAATCTCCAACATCCATCGCAGTTGCCGCGTTTAGCAAGCGGTACCTCATTGGTATATACTAAATAACAGTGCTTTGTGCACTTTGTGTAAAATGGATTTAGCAATGAATGGAGTTCATTTGCTAAAATGCTCTTCGTCAAAAGAAGAAAGCCTATAGAGTCGATAATGGGGGGCAAAAGAGTTGGTACAGTTGACATTCAACGACTGAATTCATTTTATATTTAATTTTATTTTAAGTTAGTTTACCAGTTTTGATGTAGTTGTTGCTATGAAGTTAATTTCTGCTTTGCACTTTTTATGCGCCATGCATCTTAGATAATTAAGTTCTTTAGCAATAAACGTAGCTGCCAAAAGTATTTCAAAAAGTCTTTTGAACAAATATTATAAAATAACAGTGTTTAAAGTTAGTACTAAGTATCTATTAGCTATTTCAAATATTTTTGTTCTTGATTTTAATTGCATGCCTTGACTGTGTATGGCTGCACATAAAAATCATTAAAAATGTACACTCAAATATTTGTATGTTCTAGACATAGTTTATTTTTAGCAGTTTAGGAATTGTAAAACGTTTTCACAGTCATAGTTTATGTTTAGCAGTTTAGGAAACGCAGCAGCAATAATCATCATTTTACAATAATATTTATAAAGTAATTTCACACGACTATTTTAAAAGATAAACAAATGAATAAGTAAATAAATAAATAGATAAAAAGTTTTTTGTTTTTATTACTTCGCGCAATTTAGTATTTTATTATTTTAAAAAGAAAATTATTGAATAAGTATAGTGAGCATTTAAACAATTTTGAAAGTACACTTTTGATTACATAATTAAAACAGCGGTTAGGTGATTTTAAAGTGGATGAAGTTCAAAAAGTAAGTTGGTCAGCCAAATGTAGTAATTTTGGAACATTTCAGAAACATTGTTTTGATTAAAGATTAGAGCAGGTGTAAGGTCATTCAATAGTAAATAAAATCCAAAAAAAAAAAACGTATTGTCAGCCAAATAAAACAATTATAACAAACTTGGAACATTTCGGAAACATTTTTTTATTGGAATGATTAAAGCAGCTGAGTAAGACTAGACGATTTGAAAGTAAATGAAATTCAAAAAGTGTAAGGCTTATTATAATTTCAGCACAAAGTTGAAGTTAGTTTAGATAACTGTCGAAACATGCACTTAAAATTGTGACTTTTTAATAAGTTCAAAAACAATAATATTTATAAAATAAGTTTAAGGAATATTTCTAGTTCAAATATTCTTATAATTATAGCAACAATGAAAAAATTTAAAAAAAATTATGATCCTCGAAAGTCGATCACAGGTTACCCATTGGCAAAACGATTGTTGTCTAATTTTTTTCTAGTCCACGTTCTTTTGCTTTAGCTTCAGCTTCTTCAGCATCGGTAAGTTTAAGCCTTGGCATCGTTTCTTTTCTTGCTTCAACTCTAACCTTTGGGACTGTATCAATCAGTTTGGGACGCTCTTTATTTGTGATATTCACCTGAATTAGTATTGAAACAATCCAGTTTGAACTGTAGGTTAGAGTTTCTGATTCTTAATTAAAACAATGAAAGCAAGAATATCATTCAAATGATGAAATTCTCTTTTATTCACAACTCAAGAAGTATTTATGGGATCTCTCTGGTCCCATATCTCAAAAGGAAACTCACCAACTTAATAAATAACAATATTAAAAGTGAAAAAAAAAGAGTTCTAAAAAAATTATCAAACAGCAGCGGTCGCCATAGCAACGCATGCGCACTGTTTACTATTACTCTTAAACACAGTTGAAAAGTGTAATGATGTCCAAATAAGGTGCGCACGCCATCATACCCAAAACAACACCTATTTTGCCAATGGGTAAAAAACATCACTTTTAGTGTAATTTCATTTGATTTCCATTAATGAAATATACATTATAGATTGAATGAATTAATAATTTACGTGTAAATATCGTTAACATATATTAATTTCATGCTGATTATGTTTCGATCTTATGTGTTTATTAATAATTATGCTATGGAAATTGTCTAATGAAAAGCAATTCTGAGATTAATTGGGTATTTATAACTAGAGAAGAAATGAAGTTATTTTCCTAACCATGATTTGAGTCACATTTAAGTGAATAACTGTCACGCGTATGTGTCGAACACTTTTAGTTTCTGGATCGATGATTGCCAGAAACTAATAGTTAGAAAGAAAGTTAGTCAAAAAAAAGCATTTATTAAAAATACAGGAACTCTGACTTGAAGCGATTAAGCGTTTAATAAAGATAAGTTTTTTTTCCAGTTAAACTTCAAACTAAAACTGTATTTTTAGCATTATAGAAACTATTATAAATAAACTCCTACAATTTCCAAAGCTAAAGAAAATACAGCATATATTTATATATAAAGAAAGCACTTTCCCCAAAATCTAAAGCTCAATTCCAGTGATTGACTGTAAGAATTTCACGGTAACGACTCCAGTCGTCAGAGCTTCTGTCAACTGAAGAAGAAAAATCAGAAAATATAGCGAAAAGCAATAGATTCAACATCGCGTTTTGCTAGGTGGAACTGATGACCATTTCTCCAACACACGCATGCAAAAACGTCTAAGATTAAATAACAGCAGGGGGTCTTTCTTTTTTTCCAACTTTACCACCCACAACTTATGATTTTTTTTGTTGTTGGTTTTTTTTCCAATTTTATTTTGTAATCGTAAAGGAAAACGATCTAGAATCCATTTTAGGGGAGTTAGGAGTAAACGGGAGTGCATAAAACTTGGATAAGGAAAATATTTTAATGGTTTTATTTTGGGGTGAGAAAAATTGGAGTCATGAGAAGCACTTTCTTTTCTCTTTAGCCTAGGATGAAAGGGTGATTTTTTTTTCCGAAAGCAAACCGCAATGTATGGAGTGCATTTACCTTAAAGTCTTATAAATTCTTTTCGTGAAACACTATAGCTGATAAAAATATCGCATTTCACATTCCACATTTCACAAACAATTGAACTTTCGCATGCTATCTAAATATTTATTTTTTTTATTCTCGGCGATTGAATTTAAGAAATAGGGTTTTTCGTCAGA